ACATTGTTCGCAATGGCTGCAAGAAAGATACGGAGGCAAATGTTGACAAATAGTGCGGCAAATACCAGAGTGGACAGACTGAATTGATATGGATTGCTGTAATTTTAAATGAATTTTGCTAAAACCTATGGTTGAAAATAAACATATGAAAATTAATGAAAAAAATGGTAAGTCCATCACGGTCATGTGATTTTCCACTTAGTGACCACAGTGCTTAGTGATGGAGTTGCTGATCCCAATTGTGGTCGCTAAGCTACTGTATATTCATATAGACTTTGCCTGATATAGTTGTATAAAGTATTCAGAATCAAATGTTACGGACCTATCTATAGATACTCATGAAATTAAAATTGGCTAGAAAAATAAAGGTAAAGTTTTTTTCTCAAAGGTCTATTCAAGACTCAGCTTTTCAGTCCTATAGATATTCATGCGTTTTATAGCCATCCATCCCTAACCACAGTAATGTGAAAATGATGAAATGTACATTGCAACATCATAATGTATACCCTCCTCATTTTTACTTGCATCATAATGTCACATGCAAATATTTGAGGGACCATAGGTTGCAGCACCATGTCTTGGCCCACACTTCATCATTTGCCCACTTGCCCTGTCATCCCAGATCCCAACAATGCACATTCCTATGCTCAAGCTTACACACAGCCAGAAAGAGTGAGACACAGAAATGAGATTTACCTTTGGTCCTTGAATTCCTGGTTCTCCTGGAGTCCCAGCATCACCCTGATAAACAGAATACATACAGGTGACACTGAAATGTCGATGTGTGCTATGTTTGCCACCATCACAAAGCGATGATTAACTGGACTTAATTTAAAAGGTGGGAATAAAAATTTCCCTTTTAAAGAGAATGTTTGCAATTTATAGGAGGAACCTTGCCTGTGGAACCCACTTAAATTTAATCCTTAAATATATTTATAAAATCTGGTAGCCATATCTTATGTTAGTTCTGATTGGTATGCATCGATCACCTTCCCATTTTGGTTATTATTTATCTGTTTGTTTGTTTATCTAGCTCGCTTAGGCTGCTCCAGTGAACCAATTCTGAATGGCATGCATCTCCAAGGCTCAAAATACAGAAACTACCTTTCACTAGCTATTGAGGGGGATAGGGTGGATGGAAATGTTTAAAATTCAAAATTCCTTTGAGCTCAAACATGATTAAAGTAGCTTGTTTGAAATGCAAAATCTTGTTTTGGCCTTGAAACAACAGTTTCATCTTGAAATGGGGTGTTTTGAATTTGAAATGGTTCAGACTTTAAACATTTTGCTTATTACTATAGCTAATGTAGCAAAAAATAATATATTTTTTCTAACCCACCACCACTGGAAGAAATAACATACAAAGATTTGCTTCTTTTTTAAATGGCAACAAATCACTCTATATTGTACATGGACAGAACATTTTAGCATGGCATCATTAAGCTTTGATTTGGCATATAAACTGATTGGTAAAACTCATTCCTTTCACTCTGCTTGATTCAAATATTGTTGGTATCATGTGTACAAAGTTGGGTGTTTTTACTTTGTATAAATGTTTTATTATAATATTTGGTTTAGGGCTTAAACTACTAACATAAGTATATAGGGCACGGAATTAAAGCCAACTCATTCCTGATAAATAAAAATCAGCATAAAAGAAATCAGTAGAATTAAAAAGTATCTAGTTTAATGAGTGATGAAGATATATTAAGCATTCAAAAATCATTTTAAAAAATACAAGCAGAAATTTGTAAAGAGAGAAGCCAGAGTGTAGAATGTATCATTGTAAAATTCATAGCTCATGGACGTCTATATTTTTCCCATAATAATTTACATTTTACTGGGTTTGACCAACAGCCATTATGACATTGAAAGCGGCAGAGAATAAATTTCAGAAATATAAACTTGAAAAAATATCAAACATTTTAAGGAGGGGGGAGAAAGGAATAGATGAACAAAGACCTTGTTCCCAAACTTCTGAAATCATTTTGTCATCCCCCCTCTCTGAACTGAAGACAACTAGTGTGGGAATCCAATCTAACTTCAAAACCTGCCAGTAGGTCAGTATCCAAGGGCAGAAGGCCAGCTCAGAAGATACAAGCATATAGCTCTTGCCGTCTACTCTATAGCCATTAATTTATTTCCTTTTTCTTATTTTATGTGGCCCTTGAGTTTGCTTCAAAAACTCTCATCAAATAACTGATTAACATCTAGAACAAGAACAATCTGTCCCAGCCTCCTAGAGAAAGAGAGGAGAAGAAAGGGAGAAAGGGAGTGGATAGCTCCACCCCCTTTTGGTTCTGGCCCTGCCCATTGCCTCTCTAGCCTCACCCAACATTGTTTGGCAATGCGATACTCTCCAGTAATGCAACCCATAATAATACAAAAAGCTTCTCTCTTATCCAATGCCATGCTGCTGCTCATTCATTACTTTTCCTGGCACCTATTTGTTCAGTCCTATACATACAGCCACTACAATGTATGTCGATAAGCAGAGAGAGACATGCACATGCCCAACAGAGAGACAGGTCTGAGCTGGTTTTTCTCTGTCTGCTCACTTGGTTAGGATCATTTTCAAGAGCACCGTCTATGGTGCACTGGGATGGGCAATTAGGTCAGCCAGTAATAGTTTAGTCCAGTATCAAGCAAGCATCAATGCTGGGGCACCAGCTTAGGAGAACAGGAACTATTGGAGAGGCACATGCTGTAGATGAAACGCCAGAACTTGTACTCCTACATCTCCCCAGCATCTGCTACTCTGGTGGCCACTTCACCCTACTAAATGTTACAACTGGTCTTGTCTGGATGATTGGGTACAGGACCTCTAAACGCAGGCAGCTTTTGAGGGAAAATAGAATACATAGAAACTTACTTTTTTTCCTGGAATGCCAGGGTCACCCTTCAAAATAAGTAAATAAAGCATTTGATATGAGAGATGTAAAAAGTAGGCATGAGAAACTAAAAGTAATACAAACAAAAATATTATTTCAAATTGATCTTAAACATGTCTTTTCTAATGTACTAAAAATCCAACTCTTTCACCAACAACTGAAGCAATTTCTCTTGAACAACCTGGGGTTATTATATTTTACGGATAACAGATTTCCAACACTTATTTCAAAACGTTTATGTTTAAATTCCATGATAAATAAAAAGGAACTTGAGACTGCAGAAACGACTTCTTTGATTGATCGGAAGATTTTGTGCAAAGTTTACATTTCAATATTTCAATGTTAAATGTTAAAATTAAGGATACAGAATGTAAACATGGGGATATTTCTGCTTCACACCCTCATACTGCTCACATGGAAGATGGCCCAATGGTATATGAGAGTCATATTCTCCCCCGACATATGCACACCACTGAGAACATCAGGGCGCTGTGGCCAGTGGGAAGTATTTCTCCATCTCCTCTGTCCCTGACCAACCCCTCTCTTCACCACTCAGTCGAGGAGTGAAAGATATGAATCTAATTAACTGATAACACCAAATGGGGATACAAGTAATCCGATGTCTCTGAGTATTTGTATTCTCAGAATTGAACTATTACAAGCCGGTTGATCGTTTTAAAAGACAACGGTGTAGGAAGCAGTGCTTTATGGTGCTTATCTCATTTTCAGAGCATATTCTCTTTTAGATTTGTTTGATATTCTACAACTAAACTGAAAACTTTATGACCTTTTACAATAATACATTGCAAATGCAGTAACAAGGAGCACTGGAATAATAGAGACATATAAAGAGTGTGGAAGAAAACAGAGTATATAGTTTTCCTATGAAAATATAGCCAATTTCTCTAAAATATAAAACATGGAAGATGGCACTGGTAACGCCATGATGGTGAGCTTTCAATATTGGAATTTCAGCCATTGCAAATACCACTTAAAACAAATACCATTCTAAAGAAATAGGTTAAGAAAGTTCCTTACGAGATAATAAAATGTGTGAAATGACACAGAACTGTTTTAAGAGGAGGCCCACCTCTTCTGAGGACACGTGATGGCACAGCTCAGCTCAGAAAGTTACTCATCAAAGCAGACTGGTTGTTTCAGTCCTGCACAATGCTTTAAATTTGGTTACTGTTATTCTCTATTTAGCTTAGCAGAGATCGAGGTAAGCAATTAGATTAGGAACCAAAACTGGATGGAAGTAAACAACAGTGATTAGTGACCAAAATCAAAGGAAGCCACTAGTTAAAGTTATTAGACAAGTAGGACACAGTGATTAAGAAAACAGGCAGAAGCTTTTGAGTTAGACTTACGGAAATATCCCACGCTTAACGCGTGAACAATTAATTACATAATGAACGTAATTTAATTTACATTTAATATCATACATTGCATACTAACCATGATACCAGCTTCTCCTTTCTCACCCTAAAGAAACATAAATATATATTTTTCAAATTAGGCCAGCAATAAATTTCACTTGAAAATCTGTTTTCCAAAAACTTCCTACCACTACAACAGTGAAGGGGAGAAATGTAGGGATTTTTTAAATTATTATTTTAACCACATAGTATTTTCTTTTTTGAGAAAAAACCTCAGTTCTTCCATTGATTTAGGAATCATGGCGTTATCAGCTCACTCAAGTGACATGCAGATATATCAATGGGTACTGAATAATTAGGCTTATACTGAGCACAAAAATAGTTTTAATTTCATTTAATATTTCTTGGTAAATAAAACTCTGTCATTCTTCACATTCAAGGACAGGATGTCAACAATTAGTTATTAAAGAAAAGATTAAGAATGGCTAATGAATAACAATAAAAACTATTCTGAAGATAGTTTTTCTAATAAAACTGCTGCTGGCTAAATGGAATAATCACACTGAAAACCTTCACATTGTTCTGGTAATTGCTTTTCTAGCAAGGAAAATCAAATGTCAAACTTTGAAGCTTGGTATATTATTAGGATTTACGAATAGTAAATCCTGATAAGGTTATCCGATGCATTTCATTGCAAAATCCAAAGTATTATTTTAGGACAAGCTAATATAAAAAAAACCTATTGACTGTGAATAAAATAAAACAATATTGATGGCATGTTCAATCAAGGGTTTCAAGATATGCCTCTTTCACAGTTACCTTCTGTTAGAACTGTAGTATAATTCTCCTTCCACTAACTTCTTTAGACATGTCAGATCAAGCTGGGTATTTACTGTGGTTTAAGGATCTTTTAGCTTACATGCACCATGAGGAGACTCTCCCCCTAAAACATGCGTGTTAGTTGGCTTTGCTATTCATTGTGCCTTACAGGAAGGCCTTGGGGTCCCTTTGGGCCATCTTTTCCTGTGTCTCCAGGGGGCCCTCTTGCACCCGGCTGTCCAGGAGGACCTGGTGGGCCAGCAGCACCATCTTTACCTTGATCTCCCTATAAGAAGTTTAGACAAAACATTATAATGTGGGGAAAAAAACAGCTGCATGGATTCTATCAGCAACTACTACACAGGAAGATGAAAAACACCACAGGAGACCAAGTATAGGACTTGGTTATGTTTTTAAGTACTGCAATAAAACTTCAGGCTGCAAATTAATCAAATTTTCTGTAGTATGATAACTAATGCTTAAGGAGCTGTTTAAGGTTTCTTTTGCATGTATGTGGCAACAAATACTGATGGCTATAATGTTTTATTCACTAATGTCCAATTCACATGTAAGTGTGCTATACAGTGATGGAAACAGCGTATCATGTCCTTTCTGTCTGCAAATGCTGGGTTCCGGTATCTTTGGGACCATAGATCAGGGAAATTTAGTGAGGAAATAGGTAAACAACTCCAGAATGGATTCTGGTTTTTCAGTATCTTGCCACTACATTTGTAGAAAGCATCGGCAAGGCTATGGGTCCAGTTATGTTTTAAGGTAAACAGTTCTGCTACATTTTCTTATTTTACCATGAAGCAAATGTCAAAAATCTCTACAAACATTAAGCTTCAAATTGCATCTTAGCTCATTTGAATATGAACAGTTAGTATGGAAAACCTAGATGCATAGTTAGTACATTCATTTCCTGCCTGCCCTCCATAGACCTTCATGTTACACACTAAGGTTTTCCAGGCAGTTTCCTGTCTAGGTGTTAAGACACTGAGGTAATCAACCGATGTAGGATTGTTCATCTTCAGCTGCTGTATTGTATACTTTTAAACAACCTATAATGTGGTGCTTTTTCTGGGGAAAAAAAAACTAGTGATTCACTGAAATATTTACAAAAATGCAATATTTGTAGAACACATACAAAATTGCCTTTAAATTGGAGATCACAGCCCAATTTAGATAGATTAAAATATCAGCATACATCACATACTATGCTCATGCTGCATGTACTGTACAGTAGGTTTACTGGCTCTTTTGTTTTTACTTTCCTTCTTCAAATATAAGATGATAGTTCTTAAGTAGCAAACTGCTTCTGAATTGTACGATAGTTTCATAATCAGTTTGCAACAAAGCAGAAAGAAATCACTTCATATTTGAAAACAAGTTCTATATTTAATTTGTTTAATGTTCATATAGCAAAATTATTCTAATTGCATTCATGCGGAATAGTATTATTTTTATTTCACAAATTAGGAAGCTGACAAATAGTTTGTTCCAGTAAGTTCTGGCCTAATTAAAACCAGGTCCCTCAAGATCTATTAACTGAGTGAACCTGGGTGTCATCTATCATTACTATAACCTGGATTATAATCTACTGTGGAAAATAACAAATCGGCCACAACCTATGGAGCCGTCAATGAAACCTCCCAAGAAAATTAATATCTGAGCAGGATGTCCTAGTGTCAGAGTTAATTTAATGCCATCCTGCTCTAACTCAGAAATTTAATGATGAGAGACATTCAACATCTTTTCAAAATTCTAATTAGGAAAGGTTCTCGAATAAGATCAAGCTAACTAGATCCAGCTCTGTTATGCTGGAATTGAAAGTTATTATTTCATGTATATCCCACTCTTATCATTCATTAAATCAGGCAGCTGTACTAAGGCCATAATCCTGGAAACAGGATATATCATCAAGGTCTTCATCCAGTAAATCAAAAAGCATGGCTTCTTGACAAATTTGCCAAGTTTTCAATTCTTGGATAAACATAGCATAATATAAGCATGGACATATCATTAGCTTGTGACTATTTGGGCAGAGACTGTGTCAATATTCTCACTGTACATGACATGCAGTACATGCAAGAACACAGTTATGAACCCAGATAGATCTCAGAGACTGGAGCATGTATTGCAATGTTTTTCTTAAGTTTGTATGAATAGTTAATGAAGCTCAGATTATGCTAACATCACAGATCCCAAATCGAATGAAGGGGACAAGAAAGGTAAACTGATGTTATTTATGTAACAATCTTGAACTATAAGCAAAAGAATGGATTGTAAAACTATCTTTAGGTTGCTTTAATATATGAGTTGATGATAGTAGTGGTTCTTGTAGACTGGGTGTATGGACACTGAAGAGTGAGCACTATGGCCTAATACTCACAAGATGGAGTAAAAACCAATCCTATGTTAGGATGCAACATTGCAGAGTGCAAGAGGTACAGTGTATTATCTTATGTTCTATGTTCTTTAAATTTGAAAGTCATAGAAGCTGAGATATTTTCCTGTGCACACAACATATTCTTTGTATAAGATGCTTGGCAGTTTGCTTATTTCCTTACTGACATTTGCAATTCTTGCAAAGCCACAGTAGATTTCCCATTTTAATCAATGGGAAATCTGAGTAGTCATGACATACATTCACTATGGCTTTCTCTAATGGGGGAGAGGAAAGGTTAAATATGTTTTCATGAAGGCAAACCCTGTATTCTGTCAACATGATGAGGCAGAATGTTAGGTTGAAAAGTAACTGGATAATAACTGAAATGGTTATAATGGCTAAAAAGTAACTGATTTTTAAAGATATTATTTTGGTACTTTTACAGTGAAAAACAATTCTGATTCTAATTGCCACAGCACTCAAATCTATTCAATTTAGTTTATTACATAAATTAGTAAAAGAGGTACTGTCAGATTGTGAAAGAACAGAAGAATAAAATACTAGAAGACCTTAAATTAAAAAAAGCCAACAACCTTACAAGAAAACACAGCAAGCCAGAAGATTAGAAGTGATTCTACCTTAAGGATACGTCGGCTAAAAATATGCTGGTCAGAGAGAAATCCATGACTGAGGCGAGGAAAAGCCATCTAGTCAATGTATGTCAGCAAAGAGAAAGCATCAAGACAAAGAAGATACAGAAAACAGTTCATTCAGCATTTTATACAAGAAGAACTCCAATACGGAACAAACAAACAATATAACCAGAAACAGCATTAATTGCTTCCAGAACCAAGACACTCATGGGTGGCAACAGAATAAAATGTATTCTATTAGTTCACAGGACAACTTGTGACCCACGGACCACCTGTTTCCCAGAGCTCCAGAGGTCAGGGCTTGTTCACACAGATTTGCATACTGATGATGCACTCACTCAACAAAACTAAAACTTTAGATTTACAAAAACAAAACAAAGGAATTTTACTCATCTCTTGTTTCCACAGATCATAATTTAAGATGTTTTACAGCAATTTTTTAAGGGATAACATACATTTTATTATAGTAATCATACTCTGATAACACTTGTTCCTGATGAACTGATGTACCTTCAGCGAGGGACAATCTACAGTATCTATACTGTTAGAATAGTTTAACTGCTAGGGATGTGTAATCTAGCATCAAGCTTTTGTTATCAAGTCACTGTGACATCTTGGACTATGGTGCCTTGGACAATGTTTGTATCCAAAGTTAACTTTCTAGGTTTTGTGAAAGTACCCAAATGGGTATTTCAAGTACATGCCAGTGAAAAACCTAGTCTCAAAATTTATATATGTATGTATGTGTTGATGAGTGTATGGGTGTATGTACAGTATGTATATACACACAGACACACAGACACATACACACACACGTAGAAAAGCTAGAACTAAAGGAAAAGCTAGATGGACTGGAGAAAGAGCCCAATTTGAAATCAGATTATTATTGCCTGGTAGTAAGTGCAGGTAGCTAGTCCAATAAGTTGATTCCGAATGAGGCAACTTCACACTGTATATTCCAAAATGATATATACAAAATTACAAAAAAAATTACAAAAAAAATTACAAAATTGTTTAATCCATAAAAAGCTGAAGTGAAGTTTACACAAATCTGATTCTATAATTTTGGCCCAACGCCAACGTTTCCCAATTTGACATGAAACCAAGATGTCTTTCTGGGAAGTAAGCTCTACTCAACACAGTGAAATTTTCTTTTGAGTAAGTTTGTCTAGACCTCTGGTACATGACGTTGGTATTTGAGATCTGAGATAAAGCATAACAAGAGCCAGTTTGGGGTAGTGGTTAAGGCATCAGGCTGGAAACTGGGAGACCGTGAGTTCTAGTCCCGCCTAGGCACAAAGCCAGCTGGGTGACCTTGGGCCAGTCACTTTTTCTCAGCCCTAGGAAGCGGGCAATGGCAAACCACTTCTGAAAAAACCGTGCCAAGAAAACTACAGGGACTTGTTCAGGCAGTCTCCAAGAATTGGACATGACTGAACAGATTAAAAAATAATAATAAAGTGTAACACCACTGAAGGGGCTACAAGCCAACTTCTCAACCACAATAAATCTCATTTATGTAAAGTTATGAAATAAAGTGTAAGCTTCTGGTTCTGTTTTGGGTTTTTTTTGTCCCTTTGAGTCAGTATTGACTCCTGGCAACTGTCTGGACTAGTCTCTGCAGTTTTCTGGGCAAGACTTTTGGAAATGGTTTGTCACTGCCTTCTTCTTAGGGTTGAGAGAGAGGGACTAGCCCAAAGTCATCCAGCTGGCTTCATGCCTAAGGTGGAACTAGAACTCCTGGTCTTCCAGTTTCTAGCCAGGTGCCTTAACCACTACACTGCTTACAAATGATTTTAACATAGAAACATATGAGCATGGTTGATTGCCAGTCAGTCCTTTTAGATAAGGATAGATCTAATTGCCAATTCCACATTTCATTTATTTAACATATTGGAAAGGAAATAATTTATGTATATCCATTGCTATATATGAACTGACTTCTGCATAAGTATTTCTGGAAAATTCTTATTCATAAAGTAAAAAGAAAAATGAAGAGGATGAAAAAAATACCTAATCATCTTGGATACAATCCTACACCCACCTGGGAATAAATTCCACTTAACTCCATATGATACAGTGACACATTCAAATAACATAACATCTTAACAAAATTTGAATGAAAAATGTTGATCAGAAGCAAAAAACCTGACATTAAAAGCACTGCTATGTAGTTTTGATATAAATATGGAATAATTTTTTTCTCTGCCAATTATTTCCATGGGCTTTGGCTGAAACCATATGTTATAAATTACAGCATCCAAAACACAGATTCCATATTGTTTAGATTATGATTATCAAAATGCTGTTTCAAGTTAGGTTTCTCGGACTGAATGTACTGTAGATATGATTCAAACCTTAGCTGAAGCGGAAGTAAATATTCCAGTCTTATGTGTTAGTTTGGACATAAGAACAGCAACCAATCAAGCAACCAAAGCTACACTTTATTTATATTGATCTAGAGATATTTAGTAAACAGCACCTTTCCCCTACTCTTGCTGTGTTCAGGGCTCAACCAGCAATCTGCAACTCAGCTGGAAACCAAATAATAATGATCTTAACTACTGAAGTTGAATGATTTAATACATAGAAGATCTTGTCACATCCTATTTTATCCACTGTAACAAAAGAGAGGACTAATATAGCAAGACAGCAGTACAAACTTCATCTCCCATTTGATTTTATCCTTTTTTTGAGAAATACTAAGACAGCGGGGTCAGCATATACTCTAGTATGGAGAACAATTTCTGAATTTAGTGCTTTGCAGATGTGTTTGTCTTCAACTCGATAATCTCAACAGCACTCCAGGGCTGGGAGAAGAAATCCGTTCACAGAATTCCAGGAAATAAGACTTTTCTTTGTTGGAAATGCTAAATGTTTCAATCAGAATTCAGTTTCATAAATTATTTATCCAATTTCAGCAAAAGACGATTATTTCTCAAGGCAAGATTCCTCTCAATGCCTATTTACCAGGAGATAAACATGGGGTGTTGTGGGTTTTCAGAAAAATCTATTTGGTCAAGATTAATTAGATGGACTAGAAGTCTGATATAATTATTTTATTTTGTTCTTCATTTTTGGTTAAAATATAACACTACTCTCCTCCTAATAATTTATTTATACAATACCAGTACTTCTATAGTGAACTTGATAACAACAATTCTTTCAGATTTAAATTAAAAGAGGGAAAGCTCTAGAAATATAGGATTGGGAAAGTATGCAACTAAAACGCTGAAAACATTGTGGCATAATATATTCCACAACACTTGTCTGGTCAAACACAACAGTGGGCTCAATCAGGTACCAAATGTCTGGCCAGTTAATGTAGGCTTTGATCATGATGCACTCAGAGAAAATAAGGACATTCCAATATTAATTAAATGACTGCTTCCTCTGAAAAATGAGAGATATTAACAGCTTTAAATGTATGTACTGTTTAAAAGTACGTAGTATGAAATAATGCACCCTTCCTTTAAGACAGGAAATAAAGTTTGCTGCTGCGGCCAAAACAAAATAAACCTGCCCAATTTAAAGAAATAAAAATAATTTAGGCCAGATGCTGTCACAGAAAAATGTCTCTGGGAATGGAAGAGAGAACAGGAGGACTTAGTGGCCAAAGTAGTAAAGAAATGTCCTAAAATTTCAGAAGAATCTGATTGGGTTTTTACATTTGTGAGAAAAACAGGATGATTACATACTGTTAGAACTACAATCTGATTACTGAACTGTCCTGCTGAGAGACCAGGTCTCAGTTTTCCCAAAAGATGCAACACATTTGAGAAACTGGAGCATAAATACATTTCGTAACACAAACGTTGCTAAATGCAGACTGCTTTTATGCATAATTGATAACATCTGGGAATGGCTTACAATGTTTTCTTTCCTTCCTTTAAAATGTAAAGACCCTTTCTGAATCACTTCCATTTGATGGCTAATGTTAAATGCATGGTGACAACAATCCTTCTTTGAGAAAGAGATCAAGCATCACTGCTAAATACCGTTTTTGGTCACTCTATTTCCAAATATGCATTGTCTCCTGTTCTTCTACTGATACACTAACACAAGATTTCCCAAGTGAGTTGTCTGTGAATTGTGATTAAAAACTGTTAAATTCTTTAAAAATAAAAATAAGGCCCTTCCATTATAATGTAGAAATGCAATGGAGTCAAGCATCACCTAAAGCAAGCTGTCCTTCTGATATGACTGAGGTAACATATTCTAATTTCTATCAAATTGAGAGGATTGTATAACTGGAAAAATTAATTCCCTGTGTTGCTTAAAGTTCTGTTACTCAGACCTTGGAAAACTCACAGTCTTTTTCATGTAGTAACATTTTGCATTAGAAAAGAGAAGAAATTTAAATCCAATCAGTTAACTGTTAAACAGAGTTAAACAGAGTTCAGTTCCTTCTGAGAAATCCAGGAACCTGCCAGATTTTAGACCAAAAAATGCAATACTTAGCAAATTTAACAGAAAATTTGAGAAGGGAAAAAGAAGAAAATAGGCTTTACTTTTAACACAAATGTGGTGGGAAAAGTATTCTGGAGAACAGATTTGGACAGAAGAAGGAAAATGAATTGACTGCTTGATCGGAAATAGAATATATGTTTAATCTGATACAATAGAGACATCTAATTTTTAAAGTTAAGGGCTTTGGTAGATGAAGAAGAAATGCCATCCACACATTCAGTCTTCTAAATTGCATGCATGTGGGGAACTGGGAGATTGCTGGCTGCTGTGGCTTAGCAAAAAGGCAGAAGCACTACGAAGATTGTGTTTAAGAATTTAGCACTTAAATCCAGCTACCAATACTGCCCTTCAGCTGTAAACTGGGACAACGTTTCTTTAAATGGAATAAATGAAACACAGAGGATATTATTTAATTGCTATGTTCTGAATAATTTTACCTGGAACTGCCTGCATGTTTTACTTGATCTGCAGGATTCACATTCTCCTATTGGAATTAGCCCAGCCAGTTCAAACTCTCTGAGAAAAGCTATTAGAAGTACCCCAATTTAGGGAGATGAGGGGTCCCAAGTTCAGTGTTCAATAACTGTACTGGTTCTTTGGAACAGCCTCCCAGTGAACAAGTATTTGATCCCACTGACTAACCCTAACCCTAACCCACTTTGCCTTCTGGAAGCTGCTCAAAACAGAGCTCTTCTGGAGGGCATTTGGAGCTTGACCCAATCAAAGTTTAGTTATAGCTTGATTTGATTAATTTAACAGCATTCTATGTTTTTCATTAGTATCTGTATACTTTTTGTTACTGTATATTGTATATTGATATTGTTTATTGTTTCTTATGCATCTTATCTGTATACCACCAAAACTTCTTAGTTGCTTGGTGGTCTACAAGTGTAAATGATGATGATGATGATGATCATCATCATCAAGTGTCAACTTGAACCTGGATTCCATCACTGTCACCAGACCACGCTGCTGTGCTACTATAACCGTCCTTCATCCATTCATATCTAGAAAATACCCTGCTTTCACCTGTGGGGCATTAACTGAATAAATTATAAATAATATTATTATTCTGAAATTGTATCACTCAACTACAAGCTTACAGTATTTGAAAAATAATTAGGGCTACTCTTTCTATTGGTTTGATGATGTTTTTATTTAAGGTCCTATCTTCTATCTGAGTTGTTATTATCATTAACTTATTACACGAACCACAATTTACATCAACAGAGAGACATGAAAAGAAACAAATGAAAATGTCCAGTCTGGTGCTGTAAAAAAACAGTGAGTTCAAGCAAGTGAGGTTACAGATAAGGACCAGAGACAGATACCCATATAAGGATAGTCTGGAAAAAATATGATCAGATACAATTCTATGGACTTAAATCTTGGTTTCTACTGGAAATGGGAATTAAAGAGTGAATAGCTCATGTTTAGGCAGAAATTCCACTGACATCAAAAGGATTTACTCCCAAGTAAATATGTACAGAAATGTAGCCTGGAATAAAATTTATTTTCTTTTGAAAAGTTTCCTTAAAATATGAGCTTTGGGGGTAAGAAAGGTAAGGATAAATTATGCAGCTGTTTTTTTTTCATTCCTTTATCTCTGTATTTACATTCAGATATTTTGATCTTTCTATGCTCATTTCAGCCAAACTCTCATTACATTTCAAATATATTCATAATTACTAGTGATACTCACCCTTGGGCCAATGTTTCCTTGTTCACCCTACAAAACAGAAAAGTCACTATAATCTGCTGCTCAGTGTTGCTTTTGGCCAAACCACTTCTTCTTCATAAATAGGAACAGTGGGCAAATATAGGAAATTAGAAGTTTCAAGAATTAATGTTTGACATTAGCCAGCATTATTTCATGTCCTGGAAGTCCTTCACACTGTAAAAGCCTCAATACTTAGGTTTAATGAGCTATTTAGGGCTCATATATAGCAAATAAAAACGTTGTTTGGGTGGAACTGAAGGACCTGTAAAAAGTATTATCAGGACAGGTATGGATAAAGTATTTGTGCAATTCTTGGATGCAAAATGTGCCAAAATTAATGCTGTAGACATATTCAAATGGAAAGAAAAAGGAGTATATCTTAGTGATTTAGAAATCAGCCAACTGCAATCATGATTTAGAGCTCGTATTTTGCTGCAGAAGTCTTATGCATGAATCAACAAATAGGCAGCAATGCATGCAAGATAGAATGACAATTTATACTTCACCAGAATTCTCCCCTTAGCAGTAAAAAAGGATTATAGAAACATGCTATTCTAATTGTTCTTGCCAATGGGTACAGCTAACAATTCAAATATGGTTTTGTTTGTTCTTCGCTTCTTTCTCAGTTTGTTCTCTTAGATATACATGGTATGCTATCTACATCTGCTGATGAAGAGCCTGTGGGAGACATCAGAGCAATACACACCAACATACTACTCATTACCTACCAAGCTATAATTCTATCAAATTCTGGTTTGCAGTGTAATCTTAATGAGATCAATATAGAACAAAGACCACAACCTTTCCTGTACAACCTTGTTTAGAAGTTGGAGCATGGGAACTCTGCTACTTAGAGAATGGCACCAAAGTGTGGGCCCAAAGACCACTTACTCAGATCATGAATAAGACTATTCTTACTAGACTGACTAGCAACTCTCCTAACAACCTCAAGGCACTTTTCAATTGACTCACCTTATCTCCTTTTGGTCCTGGAGGTCCCTGTAGAATAAAAAAAAGAACAATTAGCATTGTTTAAAGAAGTACCATTTCAGTTAGAACCCTTCTTGATCTGTAAATGTCTCCCATTCAGTTATTTCAACACAGTGACAGCTAGTGTTGTTGAGTGGAAAGTAGCTAATGACTGGATCCCAAAAGAAGAGACTACAATTGAGATTTTTGCTCTATTAAGAGACATGTAAATGTCTAGGGCGTGTAGGGGTGGTGGAACTAGAAAATCAAGAAGAAAGACATTTTTTCTATTTTCCCCCAAAGCCCTTTTGTTTTGTTGTTTATTTTTGGGAAAAAAATTAAAAAGGGGAATTTGAATTAATATTAAATGATTACATGTGAAAGAAATTGTTCTGTATTTGAAAATCCTTTAAATCAAGAAATAAACCAGTGTGAAAGGGTAGAGACAAATCTTTAATTTTCATAAATCTCTCAAAACTAAAAAAAAAAGGATTAGAAGAATTAAAAACGTCTGTTAGAGATAACACTCTTGCTTCAGAAAATGAGACAGTTCAACAAAATATTTAACATTGAAGCTTTTTATCACAATCAGTTCTTTCTGTATCTGTTCTTCATAGCAGAAGCTAAAATTAATACATAACTTTCCTTGTTTTGCAACAATTTTGACAGTTTCTTCTGTTTTCAATATTAACATTTTGCCTGCCTGTTTCTCATAAACAGGCAAGAATGAAAAGACTATATTCTTGGGAGTTGAGCAGCTTGTAATTCCATGTGTATCAAAAATTTAAAACATGTTGAAATCTATCAAAATATATAATTATTGTTTGAATCAAGAATACAATTGTATGCACCAAGCACACTTTTACAAGTGAACCAAGATAAACATAACAAAATATCTGTAAAGGATGTTGAAAATTAACATTTTCACTCCCCCCCACCCCCAATTTTTACTTCTGAAAAGTACTCCATTTCCCTGTTGCTTCAAAATATCCAAAATGTTTACATTTCTAGTTTTATTACAGGTAGTCCTTGTTTAGTGACCACAATTGGGACTGGCAACTCAGTCATTAAGCAACGCGGTTGCTAACTGAAACTGCAACTGTGTTTATGATCTTACTTCAGCTTTCCTTTGCTTACCGACCTGTGAAGGTTGTAAATGCGAACTGAGGCAGTCGCTAAACAAGGACTACCTGTATAGATCAAATACTTGATTGTTTAGTCAATTTCACAGAATGAATCAGTGAGCAGTAAATTGGTAGAAAGGTGTTTCACTGAAGGGAACTGGAAAGGCAAAGACTAATTTTTCTAGTCACCTGCGGAACAAACTGCAGGGCCCACACTTGGATGCCATTCTCTAAGTAGCAGAGTTCCCATGCTCCAACTTCTAAACAAGGTTGTACAGGAAACCTGTCTGAGCTCAGCTGTTTGCTTTGTACAGACTGGTTGTTAGTCTTTTGTTTTCCATAGCCAAGGATAATGCTTGTACTTCATGCATAAACAGTCTAGAAACAACTTTCAGGCAAGTAATGGCTGCACTGAGTGAATTTCAACATCAGTACAGTGGTACCTCAGTTCACGAACTTAATTCGTTCCGCGACTCTGGTCACGACCCGAATTGGTCGTGACCCGAAACAAATTTTCCCATAAGGTTCAATGTAATTACGGTTAATCCGTTCTGAACCATATGTGTTTTTTTTTTTAAACCGCAAAAATATGACACAAAGTACAGCACGAAGAGAGAGAACGCTAACAGTTCTCAACG